CTATTGCACACAATCCAGTGCATCATGATCGTACTAAACATGTTGAGGTTGACATGCATTTTATCAAGGAGAAGATTGAAGAGAAAATTATAAATCTGATGTMTGTTCCATCATCAGATCAAGYTRCAGATATCCTAACAAAAGGACTCTTGAGACCCGTRTTTGAAAGGTTGTTGATCAAGCTGAAACTGTTCAATCTGTATAKYCCAGCTTGARGGGGAGTGTTGAATTAGTTAGAAGTTAAGATTATGTGGACTTAGTTAGAAGTTGTTTAGATTTTGTGTTTAAATTTAGCAAATAAATCTCCTTTTTTGTTAGGGAAGTTAGGAGGTTATTCCTAGATTTTGTTTCCTCTTTGTAACGTATAAATAGTGCCTCTATTCCTTATCTTTGATCAATCAATTTGAGAATTTATTTCTTCTCTCTTTTCTCGTGTATGTCTCTCTGGTGTCTCTATCCTTAGTTTTTAAGAAACTTATTTACACAAAATTTAAAATTTTCTAATTTTACACTTTTAGATTTCTGCATGTATTTTATCCTTATTTATTGCATTTACATTTATTATAGTTATTTGTTTTAATTTCATAAACTATTATCATAATCCTTTAATTATTGTGGATCTAATACTAATTTTCAACACAAATCTCTTAATTCACTCATTCAAAACCTTAATTTACTCCTTCAAAAAGATTGATTTTCCATTAATTCACTCCCACACTGGTGCTCGGACAATTAAAAATCACAGAAACATCTTTTGAAGTCTCAATGAACATATATCCGCATATTCAAAATCACAGTATATATCCACTTATATATCCGCATATATACATTCAAAATAACTATAGTATATATCCGCATATATACAAGTTGAGTTATAAGATATATCCTAATCAAACTCACTATAATATATATCCTCATATATACAATAGTTCACACGAAATCAAAAATTCAAAACAACTGTTGGAATGCAAACCTTTCGATTGAGATAAATGAAGACGAACTACTCTTGCGATGGAGAAAAACGGGGCCGGAGATGAGGCAGGCAGACGTCAGCCGGATACGAAGGCAGGTAGAAACGACGGAGAAGAAGAAAGGACAACAATCTCCTTTCGAACCAGATAAATGGAGACGAACGACGGAGAAAAACGGAACCGGCCGAAGAGGAAGGCAGATAGAGACAAATGTTTGGAGGAAGAAGTAAGAGGTTTTGAAATGGATGGTTTTTTAGATTTTTGGGGTTTTTAGACTTTCTATTTTGGAAAGTATAATTAAGCACAGAATTTAAATTGTAACCTCCCAATTTACCATTTCTAGATTTAAAAAATTATTTAATATTGAGTGTATTAGTAATTTGTGTGATGGATAACATCCTATTGTTTAATGACAAAAGTGTAAATTTTATATATTTCAATCCTTTTTATGTAATTATGATTCTTAAATAGACTATCAATGTACTAATCTCACATGTTATCTTTTTGGTATCTTTTGGTCTCACTTAGGTGGGTCACGTTACAATCCACCTAATGAATTTTGCATATCTTTTAATTTTTTTAACAAGCACTTTTATTTATCTAAAATTACTTGCGAAACTATACCAATCACATGCTAAATTAGTAATTTTACTTTTTTATAATATACTTTTTAAAAGGTTTTCAAAATCTATCCAAATTTCAAATCATAAAAGTAGTTTTAAAAAACTTATTTTTGCTTTTTAAATTAGTTAAAAAATCAAATATAATTTCAAGGGAGGTTAAAAGCATAACTTTTTTTTTTAGAAATACAAAACTAAAAACGAAATTATTATCAAATGCAACCTACACATCGTCACTAAAACTAAGTACCACATCATCACACGTATTTTTACACCAGTCCAAGCGTAGCTCAAGTAAATAAAATACTTATTACCATTCCTAAGATCGATGGTTCCATCTCTCACACCAGTATTTTTACCGACGAGTTGCTATTACGACCTAAAACAGAGATGATATTAAATAGAAGATAATGGGGAAATTTGAAATTTTAACCCCTCCCATAATTCACTTTGGATTTATGACCCCATTATGAAAAAACTAATCTATGATCCCACTCTTCCTYATTTATTAATAATTTCATAATTTTTAAATGTGAAATTACAGTAGTACCCTCATGTTTCAAAATGAACCATCTCTCCCTCCACGAATCTCTTTCCAATCTTTATTCCCTCTACAAATCTCTCACAATAATTAATTATAACCCTAAAAAATCTATCTTTTAAGAGAAATATCTAACTCAAATAGTAAATTAAAAGTTTAATATAGAAAAAATAAAAACGTACATAATTACATAAGATTTTTGCATATTTAATTGCAAAAAAAAGTCAAGATTACAAAAATCTCACCAATATTGCATTAAATGACCGAGATTTAATTGATAACAATAGGGCTAAGAGGAGAGAGAATGCAAAAAAAAAAACTAAAATTTTCGGATCCCGGACCAGGATTGCAGAATCTCGGAGCGGGTTACTATTCGGTCAAATGCCTGATCCCCCTGTGTTGTCATATGCTCTAATGGCTTGCGCTAAGATTGCGAAATCTTTCTGCTGACATCTTAAGCAAGTGGCAGTTTTGAATGGGCACACGTTCATGGCTGATCCATTGTCAACCATAACCATTGGCACCCTTTTCCCAGTGATCACTTTAATATGTAAGGCTTTGTTATGGTTCATTCCTACCTTCGACAGATCCTTATCCGTTCAAGTGATAGTCTTTGCCATCTGGATGTGGAAAATTATTTTGACGGATCCGAGATCCACAAATTTCAGTTTTTTTTTTCTTTTTTTTTGCATTATCTCCCCTCTTAACCCTTGTTGTCAATTAAATTTCGAACATTTATTGCAATTTTGACCCGACATTTATGAAATCTTAATTTTTTTTTTTGTAATTAAATCCGGACAAATTTTGAATTATTCCTACTATGATCAACCTGGGTGAAAAGATAGAATGGGCGTAGGGTAATACTTCCATATTGATCTGAACCAATCCATATGCTCCCATTTTTAATAAGATTCCGGCTAGAAGCATACAAGTACTGTAATGTGCCTCTCCGTGGGTATCTGATAACCATGTATGTAAGGGTATAATCGGTGATTTGACAACAAAAGCAATAAGAAATCCGATATAGAATATTATTTCGAGTTATAGAATATTCTTGGATCATGCAAATATTTTTTTCACCCTAATTTAATTATTGGAGGATTTAATCTACAAATTTTTTTTTTTGTGTATTCGTTTGTTAAGTAATTGATTCCTAAATTAATCCATATTAGATTCAAATTTAAAAAAATTGGTAAAGGTTGGGAGAAGGGATTGGTGAATAATTTTACTTAAAATAAATAAGGATATTTTGGTAATTTTACAAAGATAAAAAGTGGGAGGGGGTAAAAAATTAGAACAGGGTCACAAATTAGGTTTTTTTTTTAAAAGGGGTCAAAAATCCAAATAAATTATAGAGTTAGGAGCCCCAATTCCCCAAGATAATGGATGGAACATGATGATGATATGATGAGGATCCCATATGATTTATAGTCTATAAGAGGTTTACTGTATGATTCCTCACACCAAAAACATCAAATAGACTGAAAGAAAACAAAACAAACACAATTGAAAGAATTGTCATTTTTTTTATTTTTTATTTTTTATTATCATTATTTCCAAATAGGTTAGCAATTAACCTCAACTATGTTCTTTTTAACTCATACATTCATAGTTTCATGAAGTGAACCTTTGGCAGTTTGAGCCTCCAAAAGCTTTTGCAGAGCAGCGTGACATCTGAAAAGAAAAGGAATAGAATTGCAAAAGAACAGCCAGAAGTGAAGGAAATTGGACAAAGGCCAAATATATGTGGGAATCTTTTTCCATTTAGTCCATTGTGTATTACCATTTTTCAATTTAGTCCTTCATTGTTGGGAGTGTTGTGTTAAAATTAGCTCATGAACTTAGATGACATAATAATTATTGGGTTGGTGAAAATTAGAAGAGAAGAAAAAGGTTATCTAAGAGGAGAAAACCCAAAATTTCTTGGAAACTCATAGGCATTCTATACTTTCCTCTGTTTTTTTCCTCCTCTAAATTTCTATCAATTTACTGGGTATTATGTCATGTAAGTGTATATCAACTAATTTTAACATTGACCAACGGAAGGGACTTAATTGAAAAACGTTAAAACATAGACTAAATTGTAACTTTTTAAGAAATAGAGACTAAACTGGAAAAAAATAATACCTAAACATTAGCCTTATTACTTAATAAGGTGGAAGTTTAGAAGTGTACCTCCAAGGAAGGTGATCTAGGAACATCGAATGTGATACAACAATGTCTCTGAAGCTCTCTCTGTTTGCAATATAAGCTTTGTAACCATCTGCGCCATCTTGGCACCTCAAGTTGTTCAAGAAAGGTAAGGTGAACCTTCTTTCTAGAGGAACTATATGAATTAATAGGCCAGGAAGATACACATCTGAGAAACTCTCGGTTGGTTTATCGTTTTCGGATCTTTCAATGGCTTCCATGAATTGAGATACCAGATCATCAGAATTGGAGAACTTGTTACGTTCAACCGTGATGATGTCATCTTCGGTTTGATTCTCTGCCAAGAGAGAGAATTCTTGGCCCTCTTTCTTGTTTTCTGCAGTTATGGCAAAATTATTTTGTCATTACCAATTGGAAGAAATCAGTTGTCAAATGTATGGCTGAGGGAAGGAAATAAGAATTTTGTTTTTTCCACATTGTAACCAATTAGCTTAAACCTTTGGAGCAAGAGGTCTCAATATTGGTAGTCACTTGTCGGGCCTGTGCTAATTTCTAAGTCTACTAGTGAAGGATAGTATTAAAAATCCGAATATACCTAACCAATTAGCTTAAACTTTTAGATTTATTGGTAATTTAACGTTTTTCCCCTTCTAATCGCTTAAGCTAGTATGCTCAAATCACAACTTATTAATTTAATCAATTTCCTTTCCACCATAAAACTAACTAATTTACCACCGATGGTATACTTTAACTCCACTACTAGACTTCTCAACTTCTTCCCATACGGCAGAAAATGATCGTTTTATATTAACGGCTTTTTAGTAACAAATGTTTGTGACTACTTACCTCTAGTCTCATTCTGCTGATAACTTGAGGAGATCCCTAGGTCATCTGCCTCAATGTGCCTCGCATACTTGTCTGATTGAGAATTCTTTCCTTCACTCCCATTTCTCTGTTGGTTATTTAGATAAAGGAACCTACGAGCAAGCTCAAAAATTTGAGTTGATTTATCGTTGCTATCTTGTGACAATGCTTTGATTGCAGCTGCACGAAGGCGCATGACTGATCCACCCGAAAGTCGAGATGAAAATTCATTGCTGAACACAATACTGCAGGAATTTTCAGAGCATATGAGGAATGAAATGGAAGATAAAGAACCTTCATCCTTTTAGTCCATCACTGGGAATTGTGGTCATTTACAATACCTTGTCACAAATTCTGAACATGCACTTGCTATAATTGAATCCACACATGGAAGTGGCCCATATGCATAGACATGTAAGTTTGGAAACTGACGGTATAACTGTGTACAGAGATATGATATTTGAAAACAAAATTACTCTAAAACTCTGAAAGAGATGAATATGTTAGGATCCTTATTACAAGAAAATGACAATGTACTGCAATATCAAAGAGAAATTATAACATCATTAGCCTTTCGAGAGAGTAGTCTCTCTCCAAGTTCCTCACACTAGACTATTCCCAAAATCTCCCCTCCCCTCCCTACTTCCTCTGTTTAAACCAACTCGGCCCTAACTAATTATCGTAACGCCCCCAACTAATATACTAATAGATTTGATTAACAAATGTGACTTTTAAATTCATGGCTATTTCACACTAAACAAAAAAGTACTACTCAACTCAAAAGTTTAGAGTCGAAAAACTATTATCCTTTTATCACTCCCTAAATGGAAAAAAAAACAACACACATACACGCTGTAAAAGAAAGGAATAGAGGTTGTGACATACTCTTAGTCCAAGTAATGCTGCAATAGCACCTCCTAAGGAATGCCCTACGATGCGAACCTCATAACCATCACACTCGCACCCGGGACCCAGCAATGAAGAAAGAAGACCGCATGGTTCAGATCCTGCCCCTCAATTCACTCAACAGTCATTCCAAATTGGTAAATCATACAGAAAATAAATTATATACTTTTCTGAAAATTCTGCCGATTAAAGAACAAGTGTATATAAATAGAATCAGTAGTGCAACAAAAAGTTATATCATATATTACTTGAATTTTCTCAACTTGCATATGACATAAAAATCAGCATTACGATACCACAAATAAAATAAAAATCAGAAAATGCATTAAATATTTTATGTCTCAACTCGCATATCATATTTATTTATTATTTATTTTTTATAAGAAACAAATTTTATTGGTGGCAAGAAATTACAAGAGGAACAAATTCCGATAAAACTTCTCCAATTGGATAAAAGAGAAGAATAAATATAGTAATAGAATAGAAGAGAGCATTTATACCAAGTAACAACTAAGAAAACTATAGAATAAAAAATAGGGTAGAAGAAAAGCTTTGTGTCTTTACTGGTTCTTTGGCTCGTTCTTGCCAAGTAACCCAGAATAAGGCTTAGACAAAGATCGTCCAAAGAAGCTTCTTTTCCTTTTTGAAAGGGTGATTTACAAGAACAAGAGAGAGGAGACTCATGGAGACATGTGGGAGAGCCGTAAACAAACTGAAGCATAAAGAAGATAATCCCAAAATTTTGTAGCATACTCACAGGATATGGAAATGTCTCGTTAAAGTTTAAAGAATATTTTCTCATATTAAGCACCACTGGAGAAATATTCATGTAAGACATCCTATGTTGGATCTTTAACACTCCGGAAGAAAGAAATTTATATTTTCAGTGTAGCGTTCTTTCTTTTTTTGAACAAGATACGAACTTTTCATTGAAGAAATGAAAAGGAACAAAATTGTTCAATTATACAAACTCCCGTAGGAGTGAAGAAGAGAATAATAAAGGCAAAAACAAAAATATAAGAGTCCCAAAGACAACCAAAATCAAACTTAGAAGGGAGATATAAAGCTTTCCCAGTTACAACATATCATATTAGGAGAATAATTTGAGAAAGAGGCATCTAGAGAACACCAGTGTGAAGCTTTCATCTTTGCAATGCGGTAGCATTCTTCCGGAGACTTCCTTTTCTCTTCAAATATTTGTTGATTCCGCTCAAACCAAATTTCAGAAAATAAGGCTTTGACACCATTTACCCATAGAAGCCAAGCTTTAGGGTTTAAGCCCAATACACTTAGGAGCTGAATGATGTTATTTGGGACAGCTTCATCAAACACCCACTGTAACGAGAATGGCTGGAAAAGAAACTCCCAACAAAGCTTGGAGAAAGTGCAATAGAAAAATAAATGAGACAGCTGTTCATCGCTATTCTTACACAATATGCACATGGAAGGAGACAAGAACATGCTAGGATTCTTCTTTTGAAGAATGTTGGCTGTATTCACCTTTCCAAAATCCAAGTAAGAATGCTGACCTTTTTGGGGCTTTTAGATTTCCAGATGGCTTTGAATACATCCTGTAAAAAGCTCGAAGAAGATCGAAATGCTGTGCATAAAGAATTAACTGTGAAAAAGCCGGAAGGATCAAGCACCCACTTCCGTTGATCCTCGTTAGAGTTCAGGGAGAAGTGACTGAGGGAGGATAACAACTCCGAAAAGGCTTCAATTTCCTCATCCTTCAACAAGCACCTAGTTTCAATTCTCCAAGATTTAGTGGTTGAATCCCACCAATGATTAAAGATTGAACCTGTTGGGCTAGAAGAGATTCGATGTAAAGATGGAAATCTGTCCTTCAATGCTCTATCTCCCAGCCAAATATGAAACCAAAAATCAGTGCGCTTACCATTACCCACCGTGAGGAACAAAAGTGTTCCACTTTGTCCCAATGCTTATCAATTTGGAACCAAGGACTACGAACACCACCAGACCGCTTCTCCAAAGTCTTCCAATCGTATGTATCTGAGCCATATATGCTTACAATGACCTTTCTCCAAAGGGAGGATGGTTCATTGCAAAAACGCCAGCCCCACTTTGCTAACAGAGCTCTGTTTTTTTGCTGTAAGCCACCAATCCCCAAGCCTCCCGCCTCCAATGAAGAGGAAGCAATGTTCCATTGGACCAAATGCTTCAAGGGAGCTTTCCTGTTGCCTTCCCAGTAAAAATTCCGCATCCTTTTTTCCTTGTTTCCTTGTCTGTAGTAGGTCATTCTCCTATATAAGAAGACCTAAGTTACATGTTTGAATATGGTAGTATATTTTTTACTCTCTCAAATTGACATATAAACATCTATTAGTTGTCTTTTTAAAGTTTGATACTTTTTATTTCTTTTCTTGTTGTAGTATGGTCTCCTATTCCTTTATGTAGTAGGTTTCCTATTTTTTTTAGTAGGTCTTTCTCCTATAAGAAGACCAAGTTGCACTATTTGAATACTATTCTCTTAAATTTAACATGAGAGCAAGGAGGTCTTGGGTTCATTCAAACCAGAAAAATCCTTGATCGGCGCACCCTACTTACGGCAAGTGCTTTTGTTCTGACAGGTGAAGATTTCTGGACGCGCTCACTGCCTCTGTTTGCACTGCTCGACGCTGCCAGTGGATAGTCTTCTTCGTGGTTCCTTA